AGTACAGGGACGTACTCAGCCAGGTTCGCAGGCTGGATGGGCTTGGGGTGGGATGCAAGGTCCAGGCACTGGACAGAGAGACCCTGGCGTTGGCCACCAGTTTCATCGTAGGGTTGGTGGGACCCTCAAACCAGGAGGGGATGCAAAGTTTGGGAGAGGGGAAAGCATCCCTACAACTGGCAAAAAGCACAGGGGAAGCCCCAAGAAGTGGAAGATCTTTCCCCAGATCAGTGTTTTTGTGCCCATTTGAGAGGACACAGGGTGAGGGGACACACAGGACCTTACCTCGCATTTAAAAGGCTTCTCCCCAGAGTGCTGGAGTGAATGGACCTTGAGGGACATGCTGCGCTTGAAGGACTTCCCGCAGGTCTCGCAGGTGAACGGCATGTCCTTGGTGTGAGCTGAAGCGGAGAAGAGCAGGGTCAGGCGCCTTCCCCGCACCCCGAGCATCCATCTCCCCAAGTCCCAGCTGCTGCTCCCAACGCCGGCGCCCAACCGCAGCAAACCCAAAGCCATCTCAGGAAGATGCACGGCAGCAACATACCAGGTACCCCCCTAACTGCCTGCCAAAACCCCCTTTTTTTGGATCTCTTTGGTGCCTGCGAGCTCCAGGGACTCAACTGCCGTTGCCATCTGCAATTTGCTTTTCAAAGCCCGGCACTGGCAGGGTCTGGTCCTCTTTTACAAGGGAAGGATGGTTACATTTCAAACCCTCCTTTGATCACTTCTGACATCTTTTTTTCTGGTTAAATAAAATAAATGAGCTTCCCCAGCACCATGCCTGATTGCTCCAAACCCAGCACTGAGCGGACATACGTTCAGCATTAAATACCGGGCCAAATTTCAAGGCCCCTGCGTTGATGTGAGAAAGCTCACCCAAGAGTAAGCCCAGCCCTAAACTCCCAACACGACAGTGACAAAAAACCACCCTTCATTGCCAAAACGATGGATGAACACCCTTAACGAGATCTCCCCATGGCACCGGTGCCTCCCGCACTCACCAACCATGTGTTTGCGCACATGGGCCATGGTGTAGAACTTCTTCTCGCAGATCTCGCAGGAGAACTTCTTCTCGGCATAGCCGTGGACGATCTTGTTGTGTTCGTGGAGGGACCAGAGCTTCTTAAACCCCTTCCCACACGTCACGCACTGCAAGGAGAGAGTGGATGGGTAGGGAAGCAGGGGAACGTGCCCAGGCACCACCAGCATTTTCGTTTTACCAGACAATCAGCTTCATCCATTGAAAGGGAACGTCACTATGAAACCTACAGCTAAAATATCAAAAACCGTAACAACCAGCAAGTCTGCTACAGACGTTGTCACTTCAAAACCTCCAAAACTCAAATTTCTATCCATCGGATGAGGAAGGGACAACGACTTTCCAGGGAAGGACGTGGCATCTCCATCAACGGATGCATTAGGACTTGCATAAACAGCAGCTCATGCACCAAGGCCCTATTCCCAACTGGGGATTTTATTCTTGCACATAATGAAGCCTTTACATAAAAAACCCAACCCTCTGCATTAGAAGGCTGCCAAGAACATAGGAACAAGGAGAAGCCCAAGCCAGGGCAGCACAACTTCAGTCTTCAGCAGATATTATGGATACTTTACCACTAAATGAGTTTTCCAAACATATCCAAATGGACCAAAACGGACCCAAAAAACAGTCCAGTCCATCAGCACAACCAGAACAAGGTGATGCGCAAAGTCTCCCCCCGAGCAGTTACGGTAGAGATTTGCTTCAGCTCCAAGTTCAACGTTTCTTGGAAAGTTTCCAGGAAAAGCTCCAACTTGAGCGTGAGATCAGTTCGGTGCTCGGGGAAAGACGGGCAAGCGAGGTCCACATGGGAAACCATTGCTGGAGCACGGATACAGCTGGCAGCACCCAGCCAAGGACCCTGCCAGGAGCCAAGGGACACTCCTTCTCCTTCATCTCTCCATGACTCATCTTCCTCTTAGCCAACAGGTATAAAACCATCCCTTCTCCTTGCAGGTGCATTGAAAAAATAATTCATGCCTTGGAGGCATCTAGCAACAGCACGGCTGAGTGGTACCAGTAAGCCCAGGGGGGATTATCCAGCAGGACTTGAAGCAGTGCAGGCAGCACAGCCTCCACCACCTCCTACCCAGAGAAGCAGATGCTTGTTGGTGGGCTTCAACCAAATTTTGCACTGAATGAGGCTGCGATACCATGGAAAATATACCATTATGCCGTGTAGTCACAGTATCTTGCTATATGTATTTACATTTAGGTGCCTGGGAGGCAAAATTAGGGTCAGAGAGGCATTCCCAACACTCGTCTTCTTCATCTTGCCATGCTTGAATATCAACATGAGTAGTCCTCTGAGTTTCACCGTTCCTAAGTAAATACTTCCATGGATCAGAACAGTTTTATTTCCGCTTTAAGAGACGTTTCAGGACAAATTCAGGACCAGAGCCTGTTATAAAAGACACATCAATATCCATTTTCTCCACTTAAAATGAAAAAGGCTGCAGAGGAGTTTTAAAATTAAAGGTAGAGGGAAAGCAGCAGATGTAGGAAAGCCTCTGGGCTGGGACCAAGCACCCTGGAGGGCTCAGCCCTGTGTCCTCAGTTACCGCAAAAAAGCATCACTCAAAAATGTGGAAGTAACGTCCAAACGAGGGAAAAAATGAGAAGATAAATTCTTGCAGGTTAAGAGGAAAACCATACTGAAGCTGGCCAAAAAAAAAAGAGTTTGAGAAACAACCTGATAAAGCAAAGGATGAATCGTTTTTCAGGCGGCAGAGGCAGGATGCCTGCTACGGAATCTGCGGGGCCACGGACGGTGATGTGAAACGATCACAGGGAGGGAGATGAAGCCTAACATCTAAACATCATGGATTAAATTTGGGGACAAAGCAGCAAAAGAAAGCAGCAGACGTGAATGGAGTAAGAGGGATGGTCCCTCCATGGATCTGGTTAAAAAACAATAAAGACTGTCCATTATAGGCATAGAGTCGAAAAAACTCCCTTTTCCATCTAGCTGTAATTCCATGGTATATTGATAGAGTTATTCAGTATTATCAGAGAAAATGGAGTGAATTTGGCTATTTGTAAAATTAAAAACGCTCAACTAAGTGAGAGGTAATGATCCACGTTTTCCGCGGAGGGAGGTCACTGCATGGGTAGTTGTGGTTCATCCTGTTCAGAAATGACCTGGAAACGGGATAAAAAGGGGGAAAAACCAAAAGCAACGAGGTTATCCATCAGGAAACCAGATGAGCCTGAAGAAATATTCTGGGAAAACCCATTTTTAATTGCACAGGCTTGACAACAGGCTCCAAAACAGCCACCACCACGCAGGTATCAGAGCTACGCTCATCCATTCTGGGAAAAAGCATCCAAAAAAAAGCAACCTTAGGGACGTGAATTTTTCAGGAAGATGCACCAAAGGGCCAGCGCGGGCAGCGGCTCCTTCGCCCGCTCAAGCTGAGACCGCTCCTGCCTCCGTAATCCCCGCACGCCTTAACGCCGAGATCTGCTTCATCGCCCGTTTTATTTGGGGTGCCAGGGGCAAAGGGCTCCAGTAGCCCTTGGGTTGCGTTACCTTCATCTAAGAGAGCCGCAAGATCATTTAAAATCCGGTCGTGGTGGGAAGGATGATGGGCGAAACTCTCCAGAAGTTGTTGGGTTTTTAATTAGTAGTGGCAGCGTCATGCAAAACAGCTCGCTGGGGATTAGGAGATGGGTTGGAGGGGTCTGCAGGAATGGATATGTTTGGTGTCCCAATGGGATGCCTACCTATCCCCCCAAAACTGCACTGATTTACTGGAGTTGATTGGCAAACGCAGAAGAGGATCTCGTTAGCATTAGGCAAAGGACACATCGAGCCTGAGCCACGCACGGATGTCAAACGCGCTCAGAAATTTGCTAATACGCAAGCTAAAGAGCACAAAAGGCAGATTAAAACCATTTGAACTCATGTCAGCAAATCTTTGAATTAAACTAAATTGGTTTCAGCCTGGGTGGGAACGGCTGGAGTGCGTCTCCATCAGGGGCTCGCAATGTTTTATCCAGATTAACTGAATAAACTCAAAGAAAAATAACTCCTCAAAAATTACTCCATGTTTCCACCCGACCAGCCAAGGGGAAGCCACAGTCCCCCGGCACAAATCCTCCGGTCCCATGCCACCGTGGGACCCTCCTGAGCCTGAATACGAGTCACGGGTGAAGCAAGGTTCCCTCCCATCTGCCATGTGCCACCCACAACATCAAAAGTATCACCTGAGCATGAGCCCATCCCATGGTGTAGCTGGGTGGGATGTCCTCCCCCATTGGGAAGTCCCGTCATGGTGGGATGCTCCTCCTTTGGTGGGATGTCCACCCCTGGTGGGATGCCCCATGCCTTGGTGGGATGCCCCACGCCTTGGTGGGACGTCCATCCCCTGGTGGGACGTCCATCCCCTGGTGGGACGTCCCTGGGGCTGGCTCACCTGGATGTTCTTCTCGCAGTCGGTCTGGTGGTGCAGCAGCAGCTCGCTCTCCAGCAGGAAGCGTTTGCCGCACTTGTCGCAGATCTGCATGCGGCTGTGCGTGACGTTCATGTGCTTCTCCAGATACCAGCGGTTGTTGAAGACCCGGGGGCACTTCTTGCACGGGTAGTGCTGCTTCTCCTCCAGCTTCACCTTCTGGCCCAAACCATCCTGCTCCTTTTTCCTCTTCCTCCCTCGCTGGCCTTCCTCTTCTTCCTCCTCCTCCTCTTCCACCTTGGCCATCTCCTGGGACCTGGTTGCCATGGCAGGTTTGGTGGCTTTGGATGCCCGGCTACCTCTGCGGGGCTGCCCACCCTTTTCCCTTTTCACCTCTGACGCATCTTCATCGTCGTCGTCATCGTCCTCTTCTTCCGTCGTCTCCTCCAGGTCTTCTTCCTCGCTGTGCTCCTCCTCCTCCTCCTCACCCACTTCTGCATCCTCCTCTTCTTCCTCCTCCTCCTCCCCTTCCTCATTCTCCTCCTCCCCATCCTCCTCCGTGTCGCGCCCATCACCATCAGGCCGCCCCATCACGGCCGCCTCGCTGGCGGCCGCCTTCCCCTCCATGCCCTTGGAGACATTGAGGGTCTGGTTGTTGAGGTTCACCTCCACGATGATCTGCTCCCGGTTGTATGAGCCCTGGCTGTCCAGGTCCTCCTCGGACTCTTCGCCTTCCATCTTACAGACGGCGCCTGGACCACCATCCTTTTCCTCCTTGTAGTACTGCTTGGCTGGACCAGGGGGGAGCGTCCCACCACCTGCTCCATCCTCCACCCGCACCGAGTAGGGGTCGTTGCCCTCCCGGGCGTAGATCTTGGGATGGGGGACATCCACCTCCTGCTTGATCTCGCAGTAGTAGGGCGGGGGTCCGGCGCAGCCCTCAGCGGGCAGGGCCATGTCGGCGGCCAGGCTGAGCGAGCGGGTGTCAAGGAGGTCCTGGCAGGAGGAAGCGATGTTGTTCATCTGCAGCACGGCGGCCGCGTTCAGCACATCCTGCACATTACAGGAGTTGACGAGGAGCTTGGAGGTGTAGATGAAGTTGAGGATCTGCTGGAGGCCCTGCGAGGTGAGGGCCTCCAGCGAGAGTTCCACGCGCTGAAGCTGCTTGTTTTGGGTGAAGAGGGAGTGGAAGAACTGGCTGTAGGCTGCCAGGACCCCCTTGTGCGCCGGGAAGATGCTCTTGTGCTGCACCAGCACGATGTCCACGTCGCACAGGTCCGGCTGAAAGAGGCGCTGCTCGTTCAGTCTGTCCATCAAACACGTGAAGTGGAGGGCTACATCCTCCACCAGGGAGTACTCAGCTGAAGGGTAGTCAGTCGTTTTTTCGACTATCAGCTGTGGGGAGGAAAGAAATAAAACCATTCAGGAGGGCTCTTTCCCCAGGAAAACACCTGCCCGGCCATGCCACCCATCCCTGTCCATGCATCCCAAGTCAGAGAAGCCAACTGAGAAGCTCCACTGCCAGCTCCAGCTTGGAGATGCCAACGAAGAAGCTCCACCACCAGCCCCAGCTTGGAGATGCCAACCAAGAAGCTTCATCACCAGACCCAGCTTCGAAACACCAAGAAGCTCTACCACTAGGCCCAGCTTAAACCAGGACAAGAAGCTTCATCACCAGACCCAGCTTCGAAACACCAAGAAGCTCTACCACTAGGCCCAGCTTGGAGATGCCAACCAAAAAGCTCCACCACCAGACCCAGCTTCGAAACACCAAGAAGCTCTACCACTAGGCCCAGCTTGGAGATGCCAACCAAAAAGCTCCACCACCAGGCCCAGCTTGGAGACGCCAACCAAGATGCTCCACCACCAACTTGAGTCCAGGAGATTCAACCAAGGAGGAGAAAGCCCAATGAAAGGACAGGCCAAGGCCACAAGAGCACCCACTGACATCCCTTCAGCCTGGGTAGGAGGTACCATGGCCATCCCACCACCAAGGAGGTCCAAAGCCTGGCTCAGCTGTCCACACTCGCGTGGAGATGTCATGCGGGAGAGGGGATGCCTCGACCTCCTGAACCAGATGGAGACCCCAAGGGGACATTTGCCCCACGCAGGAAGCCAATTTTAGGCACCAGCTGAGATTTAACCCCCTAGATAGAAGGAAATTAGGATTTTAAACCTCCCTGCTTCTACAAGATAATTACATGAACCACAGTATCCTCTAATATTTGCCGAATTACGCCGCGTGCTGTGACTCACGTTAGCAGCTAACTCGCTGGCTGGATTCACCGGGATGATTTACGTGCTCTTTTAATGCCCATTTTAAATCGCCTGGGGAAAGGCACTACCTGGAAAAATTCAAATCGGGGAGCAGCATCCCCATTTCCCCCTGGGAAACGCTGCAACTGCCAACACTCCCCAGGCTACGTTTGCTGGATATTTAATTTAGCTCGCATATATTTTGCGTGGTGCAGACCACCCCTGGATGATCATCACCTCTCCTGGGGATACCTGAGCTCCAGGAGGGGGTTTGCCAGCTGCATCCCAAATGCAAGGGATATCCCACGCCCTAAATCCCGCGCCCTGTATTAAAAGCAGGTGGGATATCCCCTTTCCCTCTGCTTCCCTTCGGCTTTCTGTGCTGAACACCCAATTCATGGATGGAGACGGATCCGGCCACGTTAACGGCCTCTTTCCCCACCATTGAGGGACATGACCAAGGACGCGGTGCAGAACAGTGGCGGAGATGGAGGGTTCAACCTGCTGGGTTTATCCTGCTCCTCCCGCTCCAAAAAGAGTTTCTCAGCTCCCATTTTTTCTGGGACAAATGGCAGCTCTTGATCAACCCACAAATTCCAGCAAGACACGTATTGTTTGTCTTTTTTTTTTTTGTGAGCCAAAGGCAAAAGCACACAGAGACAAAAATATTTAAATAATAATAAATAATAAAATAAAAAAAAGGGTGCTTTCTTCTCTGTTTTCTCAACAAGCAAAAAAACGCCTTCCCCCTCCCTGCCAAAAATTTTTCATTTTCACTCAATTTCTGCTCTGCGACCAACCCGCCCAACCAACGGGGTCGTCAGCTTTTCTCCAAACTCTTGGCCCTGCAGCCTGAAGTGGGGCAAAGAGGTAGTAAAAGAG